TGTTGGGGAGGCCCCTGTGGACGCCCCCACAGCTCTTTGTGCAGCGGGCAAGGCCACTGGAACGCTGGCCTTACATGGGCAGCGTGGGCCCCGGGTCAGGGTGAAATGACCCTGGAGCTGTGCTGGGCTGGGGCCGGCCTCCTGCTCTCAGGGCTCCAACACTGAGGTCCTGAGGTCGGGGTGTGCTCCCTGTGTGTTTGGGGCAGGCTGGGCAGGACACAGCGATGCTGGGCGGGGACAGGCAGGGGCTGTGCAAAGGGGTCCAGCTACATCCTGAGGGGGTGGGAGAAGCCGCTGGCAGACCCAGGTACAGCAATGACATCTGTCAGAACTGTCTGGGTGCTCACTGGGCCACCTGAGGAGGAGGTTTCAGGGGCACAGTGGGTGGCTGTGCAGTGACAGGTTCCGTGGGAGCCTCTCGGGGCAGCAGGGTAGGATGTTGGAGGCAGACATGGTGATGGAGATGGAGGAGGAGCCCAGGGGCCCTGGCTTGTGGGCAGCCTGGTACCTGGGTGGCGCACTATTCCCCAGGCTCGGGGTGCCACAGGGACAGCGGTTTCTGGGAGGAGCAGAGGAGCAGCGTGGGTGGCCTTGGATTTAGAAGGTTGGGTCTGAGGCCCTCAGAGGCCACACAGGTGGTCTGCCTTGGCTCTGGATTGTCTGTGGCTCCAGAGTCTGTGGCTCTGGATTGTCTGTGGCTTGTGCCCAAGGCTGGCCTTAGGTCAGCTTGAGCAATGGGGGAAGAGTGTCAGAAGTTCCCCTGCTCCAGGATGCTGGACTGTTTTTGCTGCAGGGGGAACGGCAGTCTGTAACCACCCCGCAGGTGACCTGTGAGGTGCCGGGGAGCCAGCCGGGCAGCGGGAAGCGGTGGGTGTTGCAGATGCAGAGCGCCTGGCAGGGCTACTGCTCCTGAGAAGGAGGCCACTGCAGATGGGGTGGGTCAAGGCTGGGACCAATGAGCAGCAGCTGGGGTCCTGGCCTCCTGTCCCGCCTCCCGCCTCACCTGGTTCACCATGGCCCCTGGGTGACTGTTGTTCACGGAGTTCCCCACAGCGTGTGGCCACACGGCCTTGCCCCAGCTGGTTCGGGCTGGCCTGGGCAGTTCTTCTCCTCCAGGCAGATCCTGCCTCTGACCCCAGGGATGCTCCAACCACGTGCAGTGCAGAGGGCACAGACACAAGCATCGGGAGCCCTGACCCCCAGGCCCCTCACCCGCAACACCTTCCCCAGTGCAAGCCCTTATTTATGATGCTGCCGTTGCACTTGGTGTCGTTCAGCACTGGCTGCTCTCTCCTGTTTCCAGGGCCTTGGTGCCCGCTTCTCCGGCTGCCCCTATGACCCAGCCTCAGTGCACGGTGACTTACGGTGCTGTTAAGGTTTCCTGTGGGGCCAGAGGCAGCCCGGGTTGGGGTGTTGGCCCAGAGTGACCAGCACCGCTGCCCTCCCAGCACCGCAGCTAGCTCCCCCAGGGACTCGCCGTCTGTTATTTGCCTGCTCATCAGAAACGAGACGGTGGAGGAACCTGCCAGGACGGGCAGGTGCCCGGTGACCTGGGACCTAGCGAGCCTGCCACTGGCTTTCTGCTCTGTGGGGTACCGGTGCCAGGTGCAGAGTGGCCCTTGGTTAGCCCAGGGTGCAGGCCTGCGGGAGGCACAGCCCCTCGGCAGCCGCTTTTCTGTGACTTTTCTTTTGTGCTTGAAACTTCCTCATCCTGTATTTTGGGTCCCTGGGGCTGAATCTGATTCTGCCCTGTTCCTGGTGACGATTTGTGGCTCTGCTCCTGCCCACAGCGAGGGGTCCTTGACGGGGATGATGGGCCTTCGTGGCCACATCCCCGGGTCCACGCAGACCTGCTGCCGGGTTCCAGGCCTGGCTGCACCGCGGGGCCTCTGGGTCAGGGAGGGCAGCTCTGCGCCCCCTGACGCTCCCCCCAGGTGAGGGTGATTCTCACCCCTCCGCTGGGTTTCCTTCCCTCTTCGTGTTAGTGCACACGTCACGCGTCAAGGCGACACGCATGGATTCTGTTTTAATCCCACCAGGGGACAGCCACCAGCTGCCGTGGGCCTGGGTGCAGCCAGCAGCCCCTGTCCCTGCCGCTGTGCACCTTCTTCTTTTTTTTTTTAATTTTATTTTTAGTGCCACTGGCGATGGGATCCAGGGCCTCCCACGTGTTTGTCAAGCCCTCCACCACAGAGCACACCCGCGCCCCAGCCCACTTTCAGTGGTCCCTGCCACACCCAGGTCACCACACACCTCTGCTCAAAGCCAGCCCAGCTCCCGTCTCACTCCAGGGAGGCCACCGACTGCTCTGTGGCCTCGCCGGCCTCCCCCCTCTGCCTCTCCATCCCTCCCCTCGGCCCTCGCCGCCTCTGCTCCCCTCTCTGGCCCTGCCTCTTGGGCTCTCCCTCCTTCTGAACTATGTGGCCGACCAGAAGGCCTCCGCTCCACCCCAGGGGAAGACCGCCCTGCAGCCCTGCTTGTGTGTCTCTGTGGCCTCCTCTGTCTCTGTATTTTCTGCTCCTGTCGCAAGGGGCAAAAGGGGCCACATCTGCAGTTGAGGGGGGAGAGAAAGAATGTCCACGTGCTTTTTTTTTTTTAACTTTACTTTATTTATTTATTTATATGTGGTGCTAAGGATGGGACCCAGCACCTCGCACATGCTAGATGAGCGCTCTACCACTGAGCCCCAGCCCCAGCCCCTCTGTAGGTTCTTGATCAAGAAAACGACGATCCTTAATGCAAGGCGCTGCCATAGACATAATCAATTCACAGCACACAGTTCTAGATTAATTAATTCTAAGCACTGCAAACACCCTCAGTCATGACAGGCTCCTGACAGACATTCCTTCTACATGCTAAGTTCAGGTGCTGGGTGTAAAGTCTCAGGCCTTAGGCTCCAAGTCCACAGATGCCCACTCACTCAGATGCCGTGATCAGGTCAGGAACCAAGGCAGACTTCCCCTGGGGTGGAGCCGAGGGCCAGCTGAGGGGATCAGACACCTCCGGACGTCACCTCTGGAGTCTTGGAGAAGCCTGGCCTCGGGGTTTGGCCAGCGTGGCGTGTGACGCGTTTGAAATCTCGTACTTCCTTCTTTGATTTTTCAAGTCTATTGATCTAAATTGCAGGTCCAGGAATTATTCACTTGTGAGAGCTTTTATGTGGGTCATCCTGTGAGTCACTTGAGGCTTCAGTCATTTTGTGGCGTGGTACTGACTCTTGTCTAACTCTCTCCATTTGGATGTGGAGACACTCGCCTGGCTCCCACTCATGCCTCGCAGCCTGTGACCCTCCTGTCATCGTAGTTGTGATGATTACGGAGGAGCGGGAGATGCTGGGGTCACGGCAGACAGTTTGACCACGTCCATGTGTGGCTTACTCTATTCCTGCTCCTGACACCTGCCCCAGCCGGCCCCGAGCTTGCTGCTGAGACACACAGAGACCTCCTGTTAGCTCCTGGTCCCCTGGGAAACAGAAGAGGTCGGGGCAGTCGGGGGGACTGAGTGCAGGGTCATATTGAGGCTGGATTTGGAGGGGCCCCTGAGGACGAGGCCAGCCCTCCAAAAATAGGGACCTGTTGGGAAGGCAATCTCTGGGGATGAGGAGCCATGGTGGAGAGCTGTCTGGGGGTGGGAAACCTGTTGGGTGTGTGGGTGTGGGTTTCGGGACACCTGCCCGGGAGCCTGGGGGGTGGTCCTGTGTGCCACTTACTCACAGAGTGGAGAAGAACGCATAAGAAGCAGGCAGAAATTGCATTTTGGAGACAGTCGTGAGATCGGGACTTCCCGGGTGCCATGAGCAGGCTGCGCTCCCAGCTGGCCTCTGCCTCCTCCTCTCCCCCCCCCCCCCCCCCCCCGAGCCCAAGGGCCCAGCTGTCAGCCTCTCAGAGCTTCAGAGGAGCAGGAGCTCAGCTCAGACTGTCCCTCCCTGGGTCCTTGTGTTTGGCTACCACAGACAATGGCTTTAAAACAGATGCAAGTGACCACAGAGGCCATGTAACCTAGCTGGTGACCTGTCCTGGGCTCACAAAATCTGACTATTCCAATAACTCGAGAGAACGACAAAGCACACAAACACACAGAAGTACCTTTTCAAAATCTAGGACGGCTCTCCGACCTTAAGGGTCCGTGGAAAGAGAGAGAGCCACCAGAATTCTTTATTCTCATATAGGGGACACAGGGGGAGGTTCCAAGGAACATTCTATCCCAAATAGGGCAAAGGGGTAGGATTACAAGTCACAGGTGGGTGTAGTCAACCCCACGGGTAGCGCCTCCTCCTGGAGCCACGCCTTGTTCCAGCTGGGGTGACGCCCTTGTTACTGCCAAGGTGACAACTGTTCAGGACCTGGGGCATCAGGACTTAACACATAAGAGGGATTCATGAGGAAGCTTTGGACTCCAGCCTGCCTGTTCCCAGGGGCCCTGCTTGCCGCCCCATCCCCGTGACCTCCTGGGGGGTCTTTCACGACCTGCCATCCCCACAGCTGAGCTCCCAGCACTTCCTCTGATCTGTGGTTCTGTGACTGCAGCCTGCTGGGGACCTGAGGCGGGCGGGCGGCTTCTGGGCTGGTGTTAGAGAATGTCCCTGCCACGTCTCCCTTCCTCCCTGCTCCTAGGCACCCACAGCCTTTCCAGAGCCCCCAAGCTGGGTCCTGACTCTCACATTTGGTGGCCCTGGTGTCCCGCATCCTATGTGCCCCCTTCTGCCCTCGGGACAGACTGTGGCATTGGAACATGTCTCTTCATATTTCACGCAGCAGCTGGGCAGGGGGTCGGCATCGCGGCTTGAACTGTGGGCGAGTCATGTGAAGAGCAGCAGTGGCGTTTGATGGGTGCTTGGGCCACTGTCGTCTGGTGACCCCTGGTGCCCGCTCTTTCTTCTCCCTGAGCCATAACCCGCGTCCAGACTCCCTCCCAGTTCTCTAACCAGGGCGTCCAGGCAGGTGACCTCAGCATTTCGGAGCGAGCTGACTCCTGTGGCTGACGCACGTCCGTCTTTGCAGATGCCTTCTCGGTGCCCGTGTCTGAGATCATCACCGTGGAAGAAGCAGACACTCACAAGAAGTGCCACGCCAGTGGCCAATGGCAGAAGATGGGACAGCCTTGCGCATTCACAGGTGAGGGCACCTGGGTGTCACCTCCCGGTTCTCCAACCTTCGGCTCTGGGCAGGTGACGCATGGGGAGGGGGCTTTTCCCCAGGCCCACTAGTGCAGTGGTCTGGCTGCTCCTTGTTGACTCTTCATCTCCCCAAGGTCCACTTCTTGTCGTCGTCCACTGTCTGTTTTCTTATTCTCTTTGTTTTTAACGTGGCTTGAAGGACCTGAGAAGTGGCACGTTGTATCTGATTCACACTGTCACTGACTACTAGAGAGTGAGCCCCTGGCTTGCAATCAGGGCGAAGCTGTGGGTGGTGTGTCGCCCGCTGCCTGTCACCCACCCTGACCCGTGCATGCCCGTCTCTTGCAGTTCACTGTGTGAAGCGAGCTCGACATCACCGCTGGAAGTGGGCACAGGTGACTTTCTGGAGCACGGACGAGCAGCTGTGTCACCTGTGGCTGCAGACCCTCCGGGAGCTGCTGGAGAGACTGTGTATGTGTGTGTTCAGACTGGTGAAGGGCAGCTGCGGCAGGCGCAGGGCCAGGATTTGACTGCCCTGGGCACGACGGGTGGTTTCCTGATGCTAGGTGTATAGAGGACAGCCTGCAGTGGTGGAGGTGGGTGGGCTCTGCAGCAGGGCACTGGTGTGAGCCCCAGGTGACTTCGTGGCAGCCAGACCCGAGGCAGGTCACTCAGCCTCCCGGGCCTCAGCTTCTTTCTCCAGAGGTGAGGATGGAACAGGTCGTGGAAGAATCGCCCCTGGCCGGGCGCATCTACAGGGCAGCAGGGGCCCAGTGTGTTAGTGACTCTGTGCTAGTGGCAGGTCTTCCTGTCACCTTGAAAATGGCAGGTGCTGCTCCTGCTGAGCCCGCAGCGCCACCTCATGGTGTTGGTGCAGCCAGCTCACAGGTGCAGCCCAGGGCGGGAGCGGCATGTGCTGGTCAGCCTTGGCCTTTTGGACCACTCTGCATCTGTGTCCAACAGTGAGTCGTCGTGCCTCCGAGGAAGGCTCCCCCCGCCCACTTCACAGGAAGGCCTTCCTTGGGAAGCGTGACTTGTGACTCCCCTGGGGGGGCGGGGACTTGTGTCTCTGCATTGCTGTGCCCTGTGGCCCTCCAAGTCCGTCTGCTGGTCCTTCTCTGAGCGCTGCTCCTGTCCCTGTCCTCCTGTGCAGCTTCTCCTGCCTCCTCTGTCTGACTCCAGGCCCCCCTCTTGCCCCGACTTACCCCCCGCCCCCAGTCTGTTCTCAGGGGACTGCGAGCTGTGGAGTCGAGGCTGGAGGCCTGGGGAGTAGACTCCTCTGGAGTGACGTGGATTTTATTTCCATGGAGTTCTTAGGAAACCCCATATGATTGTGCATTTGGTATGGTCTCCTGGCACCTAAAAATAGCACATGGTCCTGTTATTCCACTATCTAGTTGAACTTCTCCTCTGTGGCTGCTCTAGTGTCTCATTGCAGTAAAACATAGACACACACCCACTGAGCGAGGGACTGGGTGAGCTCTCGCACTGACCCGCTCGCCACGCACCCAGGCCTGGAAGCACAGTGCCCCAGGCCTCAGCCCTATGGCCATTACTCCAGGGCCACTGCTAGCTGCCTTCTAAACAGCCAGATCCCTTGCGCACCCTACGCAGCTGGGTGGTGTGACCTGCACTCTTCTGTGTCTGCATGGGACTGAACTCATGAGTGTGACGTTTGCCACGTGGTGTGTGGTTGCAGGTGGTTCCTCCCCAGCTGTGTGGATTCCCTGAAGGGAATGCACACTGTGTCACCCAGTCATCTGGATGGCCCTCTGTGGGCCACTGTGCACGTCAGCGTCCCCCCATCTTGTGAAGCCTTTTTGTGCATGATCATGCGTATCTGGGGTGATACCCAGCAGTGGACCGGGCAGCCCCACAGTTCCCTGAGGTGGCGGTGGTGCTCGGTACCTTCTGTCTGGGGGTGCGTTCCTGCTGCTCCGGGTCCGACCGCACCTTTGCACCTTAGCCGGTGTGTAAGCTGCCCTGTATGCTGCTGCGCGATGTCCCCAATGGTCGAGAAGCCGGGCAGATGCACATCCTCATGGGGTTTCTGTCGGCCCTTTGCCCACTATCTGTTGGCTTGCTCCTTTCCTCGGTGGTCGGTGGGATCCTGACGTTCTGTGGACCTGACTTTCATCAGTCTGAGAATCACAGTTGGCTCCCCGCCTGTGTCTCGCCCGGGTCCCTTGTTGGTGCCTTCTGATGGACTGGCATTCCTGACCGCGTAGTCGGGTTGTCTGTTTCCTTTTAGCTTCATGGTCAGCCTGGCCACTGGACAGCCTCGCCCACCCTGGGGTCAGGAAGTGCTGTCTTCCCCGAGCCCCGCTGCCTCCTCACGCACGTGGCCCACAGTCCCTTTGGATGGAGGACGTGGCCGAGGCTCATCTTCTTTTTATACTTATGGTTATTTTTGCTGCACTGGGGAGTGAAGGCAGGGCTGCTCTCCACACCCCCAGCCATCTTTATTTTTTATTTTATTTTGCTTTTTTGAGACAGTGTCTCTCCGAGGTGCCCAGGCTGCCTGGGAGTTGCAGTGCTCCTGGGTCAGCTCCTGGGTTGCCGGGACCACAGGTGTGCTGCTGTGCCCGGCAGAGGTCTGCTGCCTCTGGACACACTCGGGGCCCCGCCACCGGGGGAGGACGGCCTTTGCCCTCTGGGCCATGGTGCTGCCACTTAGGCTTCTGCGCTTTGCAGCTGCTGTGGAGCCGTGTGACAGAGCTGTCCTGCCTTGCTTCTGAGACCCGGCCAGCTGGCTCGATACAGCTCAACACGGAGCTTTTGGCTTCCTGTCACGCACGGCGGTGTCCCCTGTGATTGGGGCAGTTCTGTCTCCTCGTTTTCCCTTCTCCTCCTTCTGCCAGGTTTGGGCCGACAGTGCTGGGGGCAACACCTGGGTCCTGACCTTGGGCAAGGTTTTCCACATTCACCCTCAAGACAGTTTCTTAGGATCTGAAGATATTTTAAAAATCAGATTAGGGAAATTCTCTTGCAGCCCCAGTTTTCCGAGAACTTTGGTTTTTAACTCATGCTTGGGAGTTGAGTAGATGCTATTTCTGCATGTTGACATGATGGAGGGCTTTGGAGCTAAGCTGTGGGACACAGAGACTCTACTGATGACCCTGTGCACTGGAGCCGAGCCCCTCGGCTGCTAGGAACACCTGCTGTGCCCATGCTGCGCTGCATCTCTGTATAGGTGACAACAGAACTGCCACTGTGGTGGCACCTGCCTGCTTGCTGTCTAGGTCACGAGCGTCCAGAGGTTTCTCCTGGATGGTGGCACCTGCCTGCTTGCTGTCTAGGTCACAGAGTGCCCGGAGGTTTCTCCTGGATGGTGGCACCTGCCTGCTTGCTGTCTAGGTCACAGAGTGCCCGGAGGTTTCTCCTGGATGGTGGCACCTGCCTGCTTGCTGTCTAGGTCACGAGCGTCCAGAGGTTTCTCCTGGATGGTGGCACCTGCTAGCTTGCTGTCTAGGTCACGAGCGTCCGGAGGTTTCTCCTGGATGGTGGCACCTGCCTGCTTGCTGTCTAGGTCACAGAGTGACGAGCGTCCAGAGGTTTCTCCTGGATGGTGGCACCTGCCTGCTTGCTGTCTAGGTCACGAGCGTCCAGAGGTTTCTCCTGGATGGTGGCACCTGCCTGCTTGCTGTCTAGGTCACAGGGTGTCCGGAGGTTTCTCCTGGATGGTGGCACCTGCCTGCTTGCTGTCTAGGTCACAGGGTGTCCGGAGGTTTCTCCTGGATGGTGGCACCTGCCTGCTTGCTGTCTAGGTCACAGGGTGTCCGGAGGTTTCTCCTGGATGGTGGCACCTGCCTGCTTGCTGTCTAGGTCACAGAGTGTCCGGAGGTTTCTCCTGGATGGTGGCACCTGCCAGCTTGCTGTCTAACAGGGTTGTTCCGGAGGTTTCTTTCCGGGATGGTGTGGGCCACCCTTGCCAAAGCTTGCTCTTGGGGGGTTCTAAGGGTCACCAGAGGGTTGGTCGGAGGTTTTCTCCCTGGATGGGTGGGGTGGCCCACCTTGCCCCAGCCTTTGGCGTCTGGTCACGGGTGGGGGGTTCGGAGGGTTTTCCTTCCTGGGGGATGGTGGCCCACCTGGGCCCTTGCTTTTTTCACCTGCCTGCTTGCTGTCTAGGTCACGAGCGTCGTAGGTTTCTCTTGGATGGTGGCACCTGCCTGCTTGCTGTCTAGGTCATGAGTGTCCGGAGGTTTCTCCTGGATAGTGGCACCTGCCTGCTTTCTGTCTAGGTCATGGGTGTCCGGAGGTTTCTGCTGCATGGTGGCACCTGCCTGCTTGCTTTCTAGGTCATGGGTGTCCGGAGGTTTCTCCTGGATGGTGGCACCTGCCTGCTTGCTGTCTAGGTCACAGAGTGTCCGGAGGTTTCTCCTGGATGGTGGCACCTGCCTGCTTTCTATCTAGGTCATGAGTGTCCGGAGGTTTCACCTGGATGGTGGCACCTGCCAGCTTGCTGTCTAGGTCACAGAGTGTCCGGAGGTTTCTCCTGGATGGTGGCACCTGCCTGCTTTCTATCTAGGTCATGAATGTCCGGAGGTTTCACCTGGATGGTGGCACCTGCTAGCTTGCTGTCTAGGTCATGAGTGTCCAGAGGTTTCTCCTGGATGGTGGCACCTGCCTTCTTGCTGTCTAGGTCATGAGTGTCCAGAGGTTTCTCCTGGGTGGTGGCACCTGCCAGCTTGCTGTCTAGGTCATGAGTGTCCAGAGGTTTCTCCTGGGTGGTGGCACCTGCCAGCTTGCTGTCTAGGTCATGGGTGTCCGGAGGTTTCTCCTGGATGGTGGCACCTGCCAGCTTGCTGTCTAGGTCACAGGGTGTCCGGAGGTTTCTCCTGGGTGGTGGCACCTGCCTGCTTGCTGTCTAGGTCATGGGTGTCGGAGGTCTCCTTATTCTGTGTTCTGGAAGAGTTCATATAACCTCAGACGGGTTGTTTTGAAGTACGTGGTGGAATCTGAAGTGGAAACGTCAAGGCCCGGGTTCCTGTGTGGAGGTTTTATAATGCTCCCCAGTCTTTCCTAGGCATGGGAGTATTCAGATTTAAGTATCTTCTGACATCTTTGGTAAATTGTGCTTTTTGTGGAGATGTGGGTCCACCTCACACACATCTAGAAGTTGCAGCGTGAGTTTCCAGCACCCTCTACTTCCTTTGCGCCATCTGCCTCCTGGAGTGATGTCCCCCCTGCCTCCTGGATGGGTCACTTGTGTTTTCTCCACTCTTCTCTTTTGGATTGATTAGAGATTTATCTCTCTTATGAGTCTTTTCAAGGAACCAGCTTTGGTCTTGGGGTTTTCAGGCATGGTGTCCCCTCGTTTTTTATTAGGAACACTGTGCACATGCGAGACCCCGGGGGACGGCTCTTCACACTTCTGGGTGCCCCACCACGACTGGGCTGTTCGGTAGTGTCCACCCCCGATGCATAGTCATGGTTTTGCTGCATTTCTAAGTAAGTGGCCGTTCAGCACGCTGGACCCTTGGACGCTTTGCAAGCCTGTCACAGTCGAGGCAGCGATGGTTGTAATTCTGGGGTGGAATCCATCGTACCTTGGCGACTTGAGACACACATTGTGTTCACTGGGTCTTGAATCAAGCACTCCTGTGCTCTGTGCTCCGACCTGTGAGATGTCCGTGCCAGCAGGCCCCTCTTCTCGGCTGGTGTGGGCTGGACTTGTCTTGTGCCCGTCCTGTATCGTGGACTGCTGGGTGCGAGCAGCTGTGGGGGTCTCTGCTTGGTCTTGGCGTGTTTCACGTTGGTGGTGTTCTATGGTTCTCTCCCTTTTGTGAGTGAAGAATGCTTTTCTTGTTTGTCCAGCCACCTCCCAGGGACCCGGGTACCCACACTGGCTATCGCGAGGCCTGCAGCAGTAGGCGTTTAGGTCCTGGTTTTGCTGTGGACTTACAAAGTCTTCAACCTTCTTGGGCGCGTTCCTCTTGTTCCTCTTGATTGTTAGTTACACTTGTTTTTCTGAGTTGCAGAGCTGACCAGTTCTTCTGGAACTGACCACAGCACACGCGGGGAAGTTGCCATAAGAAACCCACTGTCTGGGAAACCGGGGCCTCGGCGCTCTGCCGGTCTCCCGTGTGCTGCTCTGCCCTCCCTCTGTTCGTCTCAGCACCAACTTGGTGTCTGTCCGTCTCTCCGCGTGTTCCCTTCTGCACGTCTGTCTCATTCTTTTTATTCTCTGCTGACTTGCCCCCTGCAGCCTCCAGTGCCCAGACCACCTGGGATGGTCAGGGAGAGTCCCCTGGGCAGGATTCCCGAGTCCTGGGCCTTCATTCTGGAGTCCTGGCCCTTCCTTGCCCCCTGCAGAGGCACACGCCCCTCCCGGCTGGTGGACAGACTCTGGCTCGCCCCTTCCCGTAGCGGGAGATGTGTGCCCTTGTTCTTTACGACCTACAAGCTGTGTCCTCCTGCCCATTTGTGTACAAGGAGTTGAGATCATTCTGCTGTCACGTTTGACCCACCAGAACAAATAATTCTAAAAAAGAAAGAAAAAAAGGCCCACACGCACTTCTGTGTCAGACAACCTGAGGCAGAGTCCTGAGTCTGATCTGCGTGTTCCTTAGTCATTGATGGTGGCTCTCGTGTGTGGTTCTGCAGCATCTAGACCCAAGCACCTGCTGGTGTTCATCAACCCACTCGGAGGAAAGGGCCAAGGCAAGCAGATATACGAAAGGAAAGTGGCGCCGCTGTTCACGCTGGCCTCCATCACCACCGAGGTCATCGGTAAGGCCACGGCGGCGGGGAGGAAACTGCACGATTCAGACGTGGTCACTGGAAGAGAGTTTGTCCCATAAGAGCAGTGTACACAAAACAGGGTTCTGTTTGCACACCAGAATGGAAGAGCAGGGAATAAATCGTGTCGTCTCTTCTAGCCAAGTCTTAGCCAATCAGGTGCTCAGGAAGGACCTGAGCAGACAACAGACAAGGGTCACAGACAGGAAGTCCTTGAAGAAGAAGTACAAGGACCAAGGTGGACAATGCAGTCCCAGGTCGCATGCCCAGTTCTTGAGGGGTGCCGGGCGGCAGGACTTGGAGGGTTCTGGGTCACACTTGGCAGGCTGAGGATGAGGCCACGGCAGAGCCCTTGCCGGCAAGCTCAAGGCCCCGGGTTCTACCCCAGGCACTTGACACCACAGGCCCAGGGCCTGAAAAGGGAGGAATTTGGACCCAATAATCTGTCCCTGGAGTCTTTCCAAGGAATGCGATCAGCTATACCCTGAGTGGGGTGTCCAGGTGTCCTTGCCAGACAGCAGCCTGCTGCAAGCCACTTAGATGCCCCCAAACAGAGGACATGATGAGCAACTGTGGCAAGTCCAAGGGAGTATCGAGTAGTTTTTTAAAATAGTTTTATGGCCAGACTGCAGCCACACCTGTCACCTCAGGACCCAGGAGGCAGAGGCAGGAAGATCACAAGTCTGAGGCCAGCCTCAGCAAGTTAGCAAGATCCCGCCTCAAAATAAACTAAAAAGCAGCTCAGTGGCCGACCACCCTGGGTCCATCCCCGGGACTGGGAGGGAAAGGGCATTCACAAAGTAGTCCCAATGATGATAAAGTGATTGTGAGAAAGCAAACACACAAAAGTGTGCACAGACGTGGGTCAGAGACGGTGGACTGACGTTCGTCTCTACGCTTGCGTGTGCTTTGACATTGCACAAGTGGCCTGGACAGTAGGGGAGGCAGATGTGGCTGCTGTTAGGTTCCAAGAGAGTCAGACTGGCCTAGTAGGGGGCCTGCCCACCCAGGCCACCCAGTCCCTTCCTGGGGAATGCTGGGTGGCCCCGCAGGGTTCTGGCCACTGCCCTCGCCGTCCACGTGAGTCACAGCTCACAGGCATGGACATAACCAACCATGTCCCCACAGTGACCGAGCGTGCGAACCAGGCCAAGGAGACCCTGTGTGAGGTCAGCATGGACAAGTATGATGGGTGAGTGAGTGCTGCGCAGCAGCCCTGACCCTGAAGTGAGCTGCTCACAGAACGTCAGGGTGGGCAGGGGGCTGGCCCAGGCACCCCTCAGAGACCACCCTGGCCTGGTGGCTCTGTTTGCCTTTCAGTCTCCCAGAGCACTTCTCGCGTGGTCACGTAGGAGAGCGGTGACCTGGCCAAGGGCACTGTCACGTGGAGTTGAGGTGGTGTTGTTCTGGTTTGGGATCCTGCTTTTCTGTTACTGTTAGCCGTGAAACATTATCGTAATGCCCTCATCGTCTTCTATGGCATAGGTGTGCCGTAACTTAACTAGTCTCTCACTATTTGGGCTCTTTCCAATTTTTGCTCTTTAAGTAAGAGAACATTACTGAATACAAACCTCTCTGCATATTCTGGTTTTGGGGGGTTTTTTCAAGATGAATTTCTAGAAGTGGATATTTTCCTTGGGGTTGGGGGGTTGAACCCAGGGCCTTTTGCACCAGGTCACAAGCTGTACCTCTGGGCTACTTACCCAGCCTGAATTTAGGGTCTCGAGGGGAGCTGGCAGGGGCTGGTCCCGTAGCCACTCTCAGCCAGGCAACCTCTGAAGTCCCAGGCCCAGAGGGAAAGCCAGCCTTGGCCACAGTCCCATTGGACGGGCAGGGAGGCACGGCCTCCTCGTCAGGGACGTTTGGAGGGCCAAGTTCCCGACACCAGCGGAGGGCCTGACCTGCGAGCTGCCGTGGTGGTGCTGGGAGTGCTGACCACCTCTCCTCTGCAGCGTCGTCTGTGTCGGTGGCGACGGCATGTTCAGCGAGGTCCTGCACGGTCTGATCGAGAGGACGCAGAGGAGCGCCGGTGTGGACCAGAACCAGTTCTGCGCCAAGCTGGTGCCCAGCCCCCTCAGGATCGGCATCATCCCCGCAGGTACGGAGCCCGGGCGGCGCCCTGACGTCCCGCCATCTGACTGAACCCGACTCGCTCACACCTGTGTCCTGCCTCAGGCGCTCCCAGGGGAGAATCCTTCTGGGCTTCTCCTCTAGGTTCATTACTCAAACTGATTCTATCCCCAGACGATGACCGCAGTCCCTCTGGGTCTTGTTTGTCTGTTTGGCTTTTTTGGGGGGTGGACCCCAGGGCCTCCCATATGCCAGGCCAGGACTCTACCGCTGAGCCGCATCTCTCGCCCCCAGAGGCCTTCTTTTTTGAAAGATAGTGTGTGTCCAATAAAATGAACACTCAGGCGGGTCTGTAAGGGACCTTGTCTGCTCCCGAATGCCAGCCGTGTGCAGGACCCAGGAGCCAGCAGCAGGGGTCAGGCTCTGCTCCTCAAGAGCCAGGGGTCGGGGCTGAAGCCCTGGAGGGGGGGCGCCTGGTGCCCGGGGCAGGCGAGGCTGTAGAGGTGGTCTTCAGCAGGTGGCTTCTAGCTGACCTGGAGGGTTGTTGGGGTGGGTGGGCAGGAGGAAGGATGTGGGTAGGGAGGGAAAGGGCCAGCCAAGTGGCAGGGCCTCCTCACGGCCTGGCGGAGGGGCTCTGCTCCCGAGGTGTCCATCTGGCTTGGTGTATTCACCATCTTTCTAGGAAGCAGATTGTTCTTAGAAACATCTCAGCTAGACAGTGACCAGCTGGCCCGTGACAGGGCAGTGGGCACAGCTTCCTTCCTCCTCCCCCCCTTCCTGGGTCGGCACAGCCACCGCCCACGCCATGGGTAGCTTCACCCCGACGGCTCCTGAAGTCAGTCGGTGGACACAGGCAGGAGGCACGGGGGGGGGGTTGCCCACTCACCAGGTGGGCTCAGGGGTTGGGAGCTGAGAGTCCTCAGTTGGCATCCGGCCCCAGGAGGGACGCCTTGGTTACTGGGCCAGCCTCTGGCCCCTGAACCCTCTCAGGCAGAGACGTGACCCTTCCACTTAACCTATGATTCCCCATGCTGGGCCGAGGACGTCCCCGTGGGCCGTGGCCTGTGCCTGTTCTCAGGACAAAGCCTCCCTCTGGGCCACATTAGCAGCTCAGCCTGCAAGTCCAAGGTGGCGAGCAGCAGAGATGCTGGGGTTGTCATCTGAGATCCCGCCCATTTGGATGGAGTGGTGACTGACACCTGTGGCGTGATGCGCTTCCTGAGCCGCTCGCCAGACGGTTCTGTCTGATGGGAGCAGCGCAGCAGTGAGACCCCGGCCACCTGGTCTCCAGCTGAGGACAATGAGAGAAAGCCCTCCGGCCCCCATTCCCTATCGGGTCCCTGCAACTGACCTGGCCATCAGCAGACTGTCCTGAGGGATGGCTGCAGGGCCCCTGATGGACTTCCTGTCCCCAGGTCTTGTGGACTTCTCTGTGCATTCAAGGCCTTAGGAGCAGGTGGGAGGGGCAGCCAGGGGCCGCTGGCCAGGCGAGGGGCAGTCAGGAGGGCCCCATGTGGTGTCTGTCTGCCCCACGGTGGGGGGCTCCTCCCAGCACAGGAGGCCCTTGTGGAAGGCCGCGTCACAGCCTGTTTGTGAAGGGTTAGTCCCTGAGCTCGAAGCTGGTGCTTACTCACCCCAGGGTCTGCCCTGGGAGGCCAGAGGTGGCCACTTGTCTTGCTGTCTGGGGCTGTTCAAGGGCAGTTCTAATCCTGAGTGACCCAGACTCTCACCATAAGGCCAGATGCCCCTGAGGAGAGCCCGCCGTCTCTGCCCCTCGCCCGTCCTTCTCTCTGCCATGGCTGCTGCACTCACTAGGGCCCGGGTGCTGTGACAGGTGGCCCACGAGGCTCCAGGCGACGTGGTGGACATCACCTGATGCCTGTCTCCCCGGAGGCCTGTGTCTCCCCAGGCTGGGAGTGGCCGCGCAGTCCCTCGGGGGCTCGGTGGCGGCTGTCTGGTTGCCGTCCTTGTCTGCACTTGTCTCCTTTCCCAGGCCGACCCTGCACCTGTGCGTTCCCTCCCTGCGGCCCTCGTGGCAGGTTAGCAGCTCTGCCGCCGCGTGGCCTTAGGGCTGGAGCTGGGGCGCTGGGGCAGGGGCTCGCCCCTCCTTGTTCTGGGCCTTCCACCCTTGCTGAGGCCGGGCCCTGCTGGGCCTGGAGAGGAGGCAGCTTGAGAGCTGCAGGTGTGGCCAGGAGGGGGCCTGGAGGTGGCCCAAGGGACTTGCCAGTGACTGAGGGAGCCCCGGGGTGACCCGTAACTGGGAGTGGGGTGGAGGGGTCTGATGGGTCCCTGCAGCCCCCGCTTCGGGAAGGCGACGCTCCCCATGCACTGAGACCTGATCTGACGTTGTATGCAACCCAAGTCCTGGACTGGGTGTGGATCAGGGACGGAGCACTTGCCTGGCCAAGGGACGCCCTGGGGAAAGAAGAAAAAGAAAAATCCTTTAATTGTAAGTCTCCTTCCAATCACATGTTAACGTGGCTGTGTTACAGCCTCGGGAGGCTGCCATCCAGGGCACATCAAGCCCTCCCCCCTGCTGCACCTACTGTGTGCCATTGTAACTAAGGCTCAGGAAGAGGCTCGAGGAGGTGATGTGCATAGCAGGAGCCTGTCTGTCCTTCCTGTGCCAGCAGCAGTGTGTGGGCTGGGTTGGCGCATGGGCTGGGTTGGTGGGTGGGCAGGTGCAGGGCCCAAGGCCAGATGTGTGAGGGGTGTGAGGATGGCTGCAGCTGTTCCAGGGGCAAGGCAGGTAGCGTGAGCATCAATCATCCTCTTGAACTTGACCCTCAGGGTGCAGGGTGCAGACTGGCTAGTGGCCTTGGCCCCCCGTCTGAGCCAGTGAAGCAGCAGTGGAGAGGCTGAGGAGCCACATCTGGCCTCCTTCCACAGAGGACGGTCAGGCCAAACAGGGTGCAAACTACCTGTCCTCAGGTTAAAATTAGCAGCGATGGCTTTGTGTGATTTCTCCGGAACCTGCTGGTTCAAAAGTATGTCAGAATTTCTAGGTTGTAGCCAGGCGTGGTGGTGCGAGCCTTTAATTCCAGTGACTCTGGAGACGGAGGCAGGAGGATTGCAAGTTTGAGGCCAGCCTGGGCAATTTAGTGAGATCCTGTCCCGTAAAGGAGAGGCTGGGGTGCAGCTCGTGGTCAGGTGCCCTTGGGTTCCACCCCAGGACCAAAGAAACAAGTTTCTGGGTTGGGGTGTTTCTCTGTGGTGAGGTGCTGACCCTGTCCCGGCCAAACGGCAGCTTCCACGCCCAGTACAGGGGCCAGGCAGCACGAGGGGGGCACAGGCGAGGCTGCAGGGGCTCTGAGGACCGTGCCCTCAGCCTGGAGGCTGGGAGGCCTGCGCGGAGGTTGATGCTAGAGCCAAGTCAGGACCACCAGCACCTGGGAGGTGACTTCTGGTCCCTTGGAGCTCAGGAGTCCGCTCCAAGCTGTGCACAGGCACTGAATCGGGGCAGCGACTGGCCAGCTGTTTCCAAAGCAGAAGCACTGGAGGGCGAAGAAGCAGGTGTGAACTGGAGGAGCGGTCAGCCATCTTGGGGCTCAGGGTCAGACCAGGTCCAGGTTTCTGGGACACGGTGGAGCTGCTGGGAGACTAACGGTGACCTGGGCAGGGAGCCTTCTGTGCCTCGCAGACCTGGCACTTCAGCAGAATGATCTGCAGACCTTCAGGAAATCAGTCCACCATGGTCATGGCCCCTGGGACCAAGGCACGTAGAGCAGGTCCCGTGACGTCCTCTGGGCCCTCCGGAATCCAGGCTCCTTGGGTCCTGTGTGCCTGACACCTGTAGCTCCGTAGAGCCCATACACAGCTACCTCCTGTGAGGGGTGTTGGCACCCCAGACACTGAGCCACGTTCGTCCTGCACCCCTGGGGCTCCCGGGCCGGCCGGCACTGTGGGCCTCACCCCGCCACCTGCCCTCTGCCCAGCACGCTGCTGCGTGGCCTCCTCTAGCAGCACATCACAGGAGGGAGAGACAAGGCCCTTCTGTTAGGAGAGTCTGCCGTGGCCAGGTTGGAAATACTGGCTTCCCCCCAGCACAAGGCCCTCCACGAAGTTCCCTTTCGTTTGGTGACAGAGGGAGGCTCCAGAGGCCTCGGGTCTTGCTCTTCTTTCCGACTGAGAAGGTCGCTGGATTTCTGCCACTAGAAGGCTGTTGGGGACAGAAGCTGCCGCTGACGAAACCCTGGGCGGCTGCGGCTCCCAGGGGTGACCGGTGAGGAGAGCGGCCATGCACCTGGCAGCCTGGCCAGGGCTCGAAGGGGCATGCGAGGCCCCAGGTGCCACGCCCCACCTGGCCTGGCTGAGTCTGCCCACCCACCACCCCTCTGGAGTGTCTCTCAGGGACGTTGACACTTGTTACTCAGGCACCTTAAATTACGAAAATGAGGGGAGAGGGTCTGAAAGCACCTCGTTTTCCTTAGATACTGTTAATTACACTTGGAGAATCAGCCACTCCTGTGATCATAAGTGCTCATTAAGCACATTTTTATTTTTGAAGTAAGATGATACTCAAGTCCTTGAGAGACTCCAAAGAGAGGTACACACCCTTGAATCATGAGTGTGTGTGAGTGTGGGTCTCTGTGTGCGCGTGTGCACCTGTTGACATCAACCATCCGAGGCCTCAGGTGTCCTGGGGTCGCACCGAGGGCCCTGTGTTGCCATCTCCATGCCAACCAGGTCCCATCTTCTCTTTGGACCTGTGCACTCTCCGAAGAGATCAGGGTCACTTATGACAAGACCTGAGCACTGTGCTGGGCCCGGGCTGAGCATCCAGGGTCTTTGGCTCTGGTGGAGTTCTGTGCCTGTCACACTGGTGGCCTCCTAAGGAATGCTTGTGTGCCAGTGGCAAAGCTCTGTGGGCCTAGACACGGCCATGCGCCTTGTCCCAGGGAGACCTAGACTAGGGTGTCCCAGGCGCAGGGCACACCTGTTACATGTTCACGTGGCCCAACCCCACGTTGTGGAGGCTGTGCCCCCGCTAGAGGGAGGCCCGGGCCTAGCTGCTGTGGCATGGGGCCCCTTGCCGTCAGGGCTGCTTTCTGCAGTGGTGACTCCTGAGCAGATTCCCGCGCCCCGCACTCAGAGCCACACTGTGGTCACCCCCAGACAGAGGAGGGCGTGATCCCTGGCCACAGGCAGGCGTGTGCGTGGTCAGGGCCCAGAGCTGTGCAGCCAGGCCCTGTGGTGGGCCCACTGTTTCCCTGGAACTCAGCCCCGCTGCTGAGAGGTGCCTTGGTGTGGACGCTGCCTTCGCAGTGTTCCCGTGACCTTCACGGTTGGCCCTGCTTTCCACGCTCTCTCCCGCGGACGAGGCTCCGTGCAGTCTCTTGCTGCCATTGAGGTGTGGGTCACAAGGTGCCCCTGCCGGCCACGCGGAGGTGGGCGAGCACCAACCCCTCACAGTCTCGCAGAGGAGGGCCTCGCTGCTCCCTGGGGCCTCCGTGAGGCTGGGGCAGCCGCTGGGGCCGCAGGGACCGCAGGGGCAGGCACGGCCGCTGTGAAGAGCTGCTGGGTGCCACTGCAAGGTCCCCTCGCTCTTCCCGGCCTCCTCCGCCCTTCAGCCGAGCTCTGTGCGCCTCTTCTGCTGGCCACGGAGGAGAGGCAGGGCCTCCACCGGGTGCCCGCATCCCACCGTGCCCCTCCCTCTCAGGGTCGACCGACTGCGTGTGCTACTCCACCGTGGGCACCAACGACGCCGAGACGTCCGCCCTGCACATCGTGGTTGGTGAGCTGCCTCCCCGCCACCCCCAGGGCACAGGCCACCAGCGCTGCCATTTCTCAGTGGCCCTGCTTCCTTGTGCCCCGTGGCCTTGCCCACCACCGCAGGAGTCCAGCCTGGCATCCCTTCGCCCCAGCCACACTGCCTCGCCCGCCCCCCTGGGTCTGTCTCCCAGGCCCATCTGGGGCCTTTTGAAAACATGAACCCATCGTGCCAGACCCTTCTCAGCACCCAGGGGCGCAGGCCTGGTGACCGGCCAGGCGCCACCCCACAGCGCCCCTGCTCCGGTGCTTGTCCCTGCTGGGTCCTGGAGCTCCTGCCACGCTCTGCCTCGAGCTGCCACTGCCTCTGGCCTCCACTCAGCTCCGCGCCCACAGCCTTAGCAGCACCCCACGGCCGCCAGCCCCCTGTGCCTCACCTGCGGTTCCATCCCACTGCTTTCATGCATGCTCTCGGGACGCCCCTGGGTGCCCACTCTGCCTGGGGCAGGAGGTGGCCTGGCCTTCCTGGTGCTGTGGTCAGGGGTGGCTGTGGGTGTGGCCCCCTCCCATCTCTTTGCAAAGTATCTGCAAGGCTGCAGGTGATTCACTCCTTCAGGTGGCAGGTGCCCAGCGCCTGCCCAGCCCCTGGCAGGGAGAGGAGGGCCGTGGGACCTCTGAGCTCCCGGTCACAGCACCTGGCTGACCCGGACCCAAGAGACCTCGTGTTTTAAAAGAGCCACTTAGGACTTTGTATTTTTTGCTATCTGCCTTCCCTTCAGTCTCAGACCCTCCCCTTTCAGTTAGTGACATTGGTGAGCTTCATGGGTACAGGCTTATCCTGTCCCCAGGAACAGCTTCCCAGGAAATTTGAGACACGTGTCATTTGAATCAAAAACAGGGAATCAAAAGAGGGACCCTGTGCTGGTCACATTCTTTCTCCTCTGAGATCAGGGTGCTTTGGGAACTGCCCTGACCACACCTGTGCTCTCCTGCAGGGGACTCGCTGTCCATGGACGTGTCCTCGGTGCACCACAACAACATGCTGCTGCGGTACTCAGTGTCCCTGCTGGGCTACGGCTTCTATGGGGACTTGATTGAGGACAGTGAGAAGAAGCGGTGGATGGGGCCTGCCAGATACGACTTTTCAGGTAACTCAGAAGAGTGTGCTGAGCCGAGTGCCGACTGAGTCCAAGGGGTCTGATTTAATCACCAGCCCCCGAGCGAGGCCACCTGTGCAGACGGAGCTCACGGGCCTCAGCCTCCTGTAGCTGGAAGTGTGAGGCCTGGACTTGGCCCTGGATTGTGTGATCCTGTTCCTGGACCCAGCACAGGTGTCTGCACAGGGCGGCCAGCCCGCGGGGATGGCTCGAGTGAAAGTCCTAGGAGGAAAGAGTCCATTCCCATCACTGGAGCCGCAGTGGCAAGACCCGCACTGCGGGGTTTCTGTTCTCGCGACTAAAAGGCTCAGGGGTCACTCCAGTTAAACTGGGCTAACTGGGCTGCACGAAATAACCGCACAAGAGACACAAATACCTTTTTTCTTTGGGGTTGCTGTGACGGCTCCTCTGACCTTAAGGGTCCGCAGAAAGAGAGAGAGAGTGCGAGAGCACGCGCTGACCCCTTTTATTGAGGAGAAGGTATTCAAATGAGGCAAGGGGTCAGGTTTCAGGGGGCTGAGTCTATCTTCATGATGTCCACTGTCAGCAGGTTGACTGACACCTGGGTAGGCCACACCCAAGGGCACAGTAAGAGGAGGGGACACACACAAGGCACTTCCATGGATGATTCTATCCTAAACAGGGCAAGGGGTTAGATTACAAAGGAACAAGTGATGATCATAGCTTCACCCATGGGGCTGTAGCAAGACACACCCATTTCTGTGACTGAGCGCCTCAGCACCCAGCTGGGGAGTGTAACTCAGTCACCGGTAAGGTTGGCCTCCCACACCGCACCGTGGGGGGTTGGCCCTCCCCGCACAGGCGGCAGCCTGCCCTTCAGATCCCCAACAGATGCACTCTGTTGTCCAAGTTCTGGGGTAGGGGCCACATCACTCAGCACTCACTTGTGAGCACCTGCCCGGCCAGGCGGGCTCTCCTGCCCAGGACGCGCCCCTGAGCAGGACAGGTGAGAGCCTGCCTCCGTGAGGCTGCGTCTGCTCCCCAGGCCGGGCGCTCCGGCTCCCCCTGCGCAGGCCTGGCGCGCAGGGGCTTCACTGCCATGTCACAGCTGAGAAAACGGGCACCACAGCTGAGTGACCACCCTCCTGCAGGTCTCGGCTCTCAGACTGGGTGGCCATCAGTGTCCCCTGGCAGCTCGTTAGAACCCAGAGCTTGGGGCCACCCTGAGACCCCCAGGCAGGTGTGGGAACAGCAACTCCACCAGGCTCCCTGGGGACCTTGTCACCTGCTCTCACAGCTGGAATGAACAGGAAACAGAAGTTGGTGCTGCCAGCTTCTGGAGGTGGGTGCAGCCTTCAAATGCAGAAAAGAGGGACTTTGAAAAGATGTGGAATTTAAGGTTGGACTCCTCAAGCATCCGGCTGAGTTCCTTTGCTGTATGTAGTGACTGTCACTTATCTGGTCCCCACTGCATTCAGGTGGATGGGATATCCCAGACCCCAGGGCCTGGCCCTTCCCCCTGAGGGGAAGGAGAGTGACTTGGTGGTTTTGTGCAGCCTAGAGACTGTAGCATGGCGTGAAGGGCTAAAGCTACTCCTCACCCCACTTCCGTTAAGGAAAGGAGTCCTGAATCTCCATGAAGGGCCAACCTGTTCCTGGCTGCCCTTGTGGAGCAGGTGGCTGGCTCAGCAGGCCGCCCCTTCCCCAGCCCCTCAGCACAGTCCCTGCCCTAGTCTCATGTCCCACCCCTGTGGCCCGGCTTTAGCCCTGAGAGTCTGGAGCGAGTGGGTTTGCATTCAGCTGCTGAGAGGTTGAAGTCCTGTCGTCTGGCAGAGCCTGGGGGAGGTGGAGCTGAGTGGGCAGGTGCCATCCTACACCTGGAGGTTTAGTGGGGGCAGAAGTGGGGACACCCAGGCTCAATGAGGCTGCCACAGAGGTGGCTGGTGCCGTGAGGCGGCTGTCCCCAAAGCACCCTGCAGGAGTCTGGCTGCACCCTGTGCCTTAGTGAGGGACACACATGCCAGGCTGCTCACCATGAGGCCTTGGACACTGGACATCTCATGGGGCCTACAGCGGATCGGGGAGAGAAGCCAGGGCCACCATGCAGAATGGCATGAGCCCCTGCAGGGCCACCTGGGAAGCTGTTTCTCACGGAGCAGATGATCCTGGGCATGTTCCCCGAGCCCAGCCCCCGCCAGGTGCGAGCCAAACAGGACGAGCACAAAGGGTGGGTGGCAAGCCGTGGAGCTGCCCAGGCTGGCCCAGGGCTGTGGATGGAACCCTGCCCCAGGGGCCAGGTGCTGGGGTCTGTGGGTGAGGGCTTGTGGAGGTGGCCTGGGCACTGTGTGGAAGTTGGAGGTCAGTGTGTTGGGGATCAGGAGAGGTGGAGCCCCCAGTGGCTCCCGAGGCCAGCATCATACCACAGCAGGTGTGGGCTGGACACTGTGACCATGCAGGCCTGTACTGGGCTCAGCAGCAGAAAAGGAGGTGTGATGTCACCCTTGCAGGATACACCTGTCCCACGTGCCCGGCTCCCCCCAGGCCCTTCGCACCCACTGCCTCTCCCTGCTGGCCTGCTCCGGCTTCCCGGGCCCCTCCAGGGGCTTTGCCCAGTGCTGGAGAGCCAGGACCACAGGCAGCACCGTGGACAGCACCCACAGGACAGCTGCCCTGGCCCTTGCCCTGAGCCTTCCAGGCTGTCACACGTATGGTGGGTGCCTCTGGCAGGGGCCAAACCTGGAGGGGGACACTGCTGACCACTCTGAAGTGGGGAGACAAGGACCCAGGCCACTGGGACCTGCAGGCCACATCATGGAGGCCCTGCAGGGCAGTGACACAAAGACCCTGCCTTGCCAGCATGGAAGGGCCACAGCTCTGACCTCTGTTGTCCCTGCCCAGATGTGCAGGGCCGAGCCCCTGCGGTTCCCTCCGGTGGCCTCCGGGGGCTCCCTTTCCTCTCTGGCTGTCCACAGCTGTGTCGCAGTCGCAGCCAGGCAATGACCTGCGACGTTCTCTCTTGGCCACACTCTGTCCCCAGGTTTGAAGACCTTTCTCTCACATCACTGCTACGAAGGGACAGTGTCTTTCCTCCCAGCCCAGCACACCACGGGATCCCCACGGGATCCGAAGCCCTGCCGGTCAGGGTAAGCACACCTCCACGTCTTTCTGTTGCACCTGAGGTGAAACGGGGCCTGGGCTGGGGCTTGTTCCGTAGGAGCTGGACGCATAGGAAGACGCTGGTTTCTGTGGGCGCGAGCAGGGTGTGGAGGCCTGAGGCTCCGCGGGCCGGCTCCTGCCTCCCCTGGCCCCGTGCGCCTGGAGCACCTGGGATGAGCAGAGCAGGCGGGAAGGGACACGGGCAGCTGTCTCATCCACAGCTGGGCGTGTGCGCTCCGGCACAGGGAGGGACTGCTGGCAAGGCTGGTCTGATGGAACTGTCTCAGCAGCCCTTGTCCCCACCCCTGGCAAGGCCCTGCTCCACTCTGCCAGGCTCCACAATGGGAGCTCTCCCCTGATCAGGAGCCCTGGCCAGTCCCCCGGCCCCTCAGAAGGCAGGGAGCAGCCGGAGCAAGAGCCCAGGTGCCCACCAAGGGGCAGACCAGGAAGCTCTGGGGGAGAAGAGGCCAGGAGGGGGAAGGCCAGGAGCTCCAGCCTCCCTGTGGGCACAGAACCCCAGGAAACCTCGACTGAGCAGCCCCGGCTTATGGCCACCCCAGTGACAGCACAGCATGTGTCTGCGTGGCCACCTGTGCTGCCGGAGGCTAGGAGACGGTGACGCTCTGGAGGACACACAGTCCTTGAATGACCATCCCACGTCCTCACCTGTGAGCAAGGAGTTCGAGGCCATCGAGTCAGAGGGTCTAGCTGCTGCCTTGCCAATGCCACCAGTGTCCACAGCCTCTGGCTGCTGTGTAGCCCAGCAGCACCCAGTGCGCACCTGGGTGGCAACCGCATCTGGGTTGAGGGCTCAGAGCTGCCTGTCTGCTGCTCTTGGCTGGGATGAGTGCCCCTCAGGGATTGGCCTGAGCGCCCAGCTCCAGGCGAGTTCTCCGTGGGACCCCACCGCCGTGGGCGCGGGCGCTGCTGGAGCCGCCCAGCAAGGGAGCCACGGGCGCCGTGCCCCGCGCCCTGTGGGATGTGAGCGCGCCTTGGCGCAGGATGCTGGTGAACTTCAGAAGCAGTCTAACTTGGAGAATTCCAGTTGGCACACTAAAGGAATATGTTCAGTCGGCCTTGAACTGAACTGTGCGTCCCGGGAAGAGAACTGCGCCTGACCGTGGGCGCCAGGCTCTGCCCTCGGGAGAGGGTGACCGGTGACGGCTCTGTCTTTCAGATGCCTGGTGTGCAGGCAGAGCAGGCAGCAGCTGGAGCAGGAGCAAACCCTGCGCGGCCCGCCGGACTCCGGTCAGTCCCCCACCCCGTCCTCCCCGGGTGCCCGGCCCTCCTCTGCCCAGCTCTTCCTTTCCTGCTCCCCGTGCCTCTGTGTCTCTGGCTTTCCTGCAGCGGGCCTGAGGCCTGGGGGACCTCCTCTGTGGACGTCCTCTGTCTCAGCCACGCAGCTTGCCCCGAGCCAAGCTGCCTCACGCCACAGGCAGATACTGCGCTTGCTGCCGCCACGAAGCCTTGCTCACGGACACGGGGATTTCCCGTCGCAACATGTCATTATCCCTATTTTCTTTGTTAAAGAACACTGCCCGCCTACTTCGTCATGCTGGGCAAAGCAGGCCACAGCCGGCGAGCGCTTTCTCCTTGGCGGCTGGGGCTGAGCCCCGGCCCCCTGCACTGCGCACGCGCCCACCCCCAGCCACCTCCTCAGCTCCCCTTCTTTTCTTCGCTGCCGAGGACGCCCTGGCCCTCTCCAGGTTGGGCTTCACTGCCCGCGTTCCATCGCCCGGGCTGTCCTGTCATGAAATGTCCCCCGGAGTCCCTCGAGGACAGAGCCTGGGCCATGTCACTGCCTTGGTCACATCTCCACTTTTCCTCTTTTCTGGTCGATGGCACGTGCAGTCACTAGATGGCAGCAGCGGCGTCCCACAGTGGCCGTCTCTGCCACCTGGACTCCCCGCTTTCTGGGCTGCCCTGCACCCGGGGTGATCACTCTCTTTCATCACCTGCTTCTTAAGGTGCTGTGCTTCCTGCAGAGACAAGGAGGAAACACAAGTCCACTCCCCACTGTCCGTGTGTCCATCTTCCTCCCGCATTCCTAGTGCTCACCGTCCCCAGCTCCCATCTCCTCCTGGGCCTGTTCGGTGGCAGCTTCTGTCAAATCTCTTGCACCTGCTGATCAGACCAACCGTTTCCGTGGTTGAACAACTGGGGGGCCGTTTGGCAGAGACTCGAGCTGATGGAGGAGGGGCACTGCCAGCAATGCTCCTGGCCTGGCAGGAGCCTCTGTCCTTGACCAGGCCGTCATCAGCCTTGAGTCCCAGACAGAGGGGGGCGGACAGTGGCCTCGTCACAGCCAGTTAACCTGTAGCTGAGCTCTGGGTCTCTATTCCGTACCCCAACATGTGTTAGGGCTGGGCTGGTGGCTTGGTGGGAGCGGGCTGGTTTAGCACGGCAGGTCCTGCGTCCATCCCGGAAGGCCGCGGCTGCACGTGCGCTGGGCCGAACCAGCGCCCAGGACTCAGCAACGCCGCCCAGCTCTCCCATCAGGACCCCTGCTATCATCTTCTGCCACTCCTAGCTCCCAGGCCAAAGGCACATGGCCGGCTGGACTAGGTCCAGGTGGTGTTCACTGACCCATGCTCCAGATCACTGCCTACAAGTTGCTGGGGACCCTGGGGTTCAGCGTCAGTGCAGCTTCCTGGGGCAGGTGGCCCTTTCTAGGCGACGTTACTGGTTTGGATGGCAGTCGCATGAGAAACGTGCTGAGCGTCACCAGGGTGAAAGCTCAGGGCACCCAAAGCACAGGCTGTAGCTGCGGCCCTGAGCCCCACTGCACGGCGACATCGGCCCCGTTCTTTCTGCTTCAGAGAAGGTGGAGGAGTGGCATGTCATCTGCGGGAAGTTTCTGGCCATTAATGCCACGAACATGTCCTGTGCTTGTCCCCGGAGCCCTAGAGGCCTGTCCCCAGCCGCCCACCTGGGAGATGGGACTTTCGACCTCATCCTCATCCGGAAGTGCTCCAGGTTCAACTTCCTGAGATTCCTCCTCAGGCACACCAACCAGTACGACCAGGTCAGTGGACAGGTGGACGCGGCAGCGAGGACGAGGAGCTTCCCGAGGGTGGTCCTGGTCCCACATTGCAGGAGTGCGTTGTGTAGTTCCAAGGGAGGCAGCAAGGACAGGTCTTTTGGTTTGCTTTTCTCCAGTTTTAAACTGGGCAGTTGCTCCTTGTGAAGTCCATTTTGAAATGTCACTCTTGGAGCACAGAAACTCAGGGCTGCGGATTTCCCAACTTCTCCCTATGCTGCTCTTCCGGGTCCTCCTTGCAGGCCCTCCAAGTCCGGCTCCAGGAGTGGGCTGTGTTCAGACCCTGCCGCCCCCCCCCCCGCCCCCCGGCACTGGCAATCTGGGGAGGGGAGGCCTGGGTCAGTCGGGGGAGGCCTGGGTCAGTCGGGGGAGGCCTGGGTCAGTCGGGGGAGGCCTGGTCAGTCGGGGGAGGCCTGGGTCAGTCGGGGGAGGCCTGGTCAGTCAGAGGAGGCCTGGGTCAGTTGGGGGAGGCCTGGGTCAGTCGGGGGGCCTGGGTCAGTCGGGGGAGGCCTGGGATTTTTTTATCACAGCCTCTTAATTTTAGTGAAATTTTGGCTTTTTGCTTAAATTGTGTTTTAGATGCTTAGTCCAGTGGTATTTTTATACAGCTTTTGAGAGGACAGAAGAATCTACAAAGCACTGCTAGTTAACCACCAGAGCTGTTTAAGAAGTGGTGGTCCCTGCGAAGGGCTAAGAATTTCAAAGTCTTGGTGTGGCTTGACCAGGGCCCGGGGAGGGCAGTTCTGGGTGGCTGTCTCTAAGTGGTCAGACCAGCTGGAGAGGGTGGCTCAGAGTGGCTGCCTGACAGCTGGACCACGAGCTCGTAGGAACTGGAGGCCCGTGGGCCCGAGGGCAAGGAGCAGGCGTTGCCCACGGTGAGTGAGGACCCTGCTTCCCCTTCCCCCGCCCCGGTAGTTTGACTTCAGTTTTGTTGAAGTCTATCGCGTGAAGAAATTCCAGTTCACCTCCAAGTCCCTGGATGAAGAGGACCACACCCTCAAGGACAGGGGAAAGCAGGGGTTGGGGCAGATCTGCTGTGACAACCCCGCCTCCTGCTGCTCGGCCCCCCGGAGCTCCTGGAACTGCGACGGGGAGATTCTGCACAGCTCTGCCATCGAGGTCAGGTGAGCGGAGGCCCAGCTCCGGGTGTGCCCAGGCTGTGGGTGCCAAGGAGAGCTCCGGTTTGTTGCAGTCCTCCTTGGGTGGTCAGGTGCGGAGCGCAGGAGGGGGGGGGCAGCACTGGCAGAGCCTTCTCCAGGGCTCTGAAGCCCTCTCTTCTCTTCCTCTTCTCTGCGACACCTGACACCCAGCGGGCATGGTCTCTCCTGGGCATTCTTTCTTTTCTGATAAATCATTCAAAAACAAACGAATGAGCTGCCTTCACAGGCACTTCTCAAGTCCTGGGCCCCTGCATCCACGGGCAGTCATCGGGCCTTGCAGGGCCTGCTGAGGGGCCTCATGCTGGTGCACAAGGGGCGGCTGCCCTGGCAGAGGGCAGAGGGGCCTGGGAAGAGCACAAGGCTGGCAGAGAAAGTGGGGGAGGGCACAGAGGGGAATCTCAAGGTGTGAAGCAGCAGCCTCAGGGCTCCCCAGAGACCCTGGGCCCACGGGCTGCTGGGACCTCTGCTCCAGCACCAAGAGCTTCCACCATTCACATCTAAATAAGGCAAGTGGATAGGACGTCTTTAGATGTCCCCAAGCCCTGGGCCCAGGCTCCATTTCCTTCTGGTGCATGTGGCAGTTGGTGGTCAGCCAGCTCCTGCCTGAGCACAAGGGCTGACAAGGTCCCAGGAAGTCACCACAGCAGCCACTGTGCACCGAGGGATTGCTTTCTGCTAGCTTGCCTGACACGTCAGGGAGGTGGAATTAAAGAAATAGAAAGCTTGGGCTGGGGCTGAGCTCAGGGGCAGAGCATTGCCAAGCACCTGTGAGGCCCTGGGTTCAATCCTTAGCACACATAAAAATAGATAGATAAAGGTAAAAAAATTATAATGATCTCAAATTAGGAAGGTCTTCTTGACATATAGCCCATCTACCCTGCACCTTGGCACGTGCCACTTACTCTTGGGGTCTTAGTTGCTAGAATACATCTGTGGTTTTTCTAACAGTGGGGAATGGAGCCAACAGGGCTGTCCTGCATGGGACCCAGGACCTCCACGCTGCTGGTCAGGGGACCTCTAGGACCCCTGGATCTACTCCCCTCTGGGGGGCTCTTGCTGGGGAGAGGCTGTGCGGGAAGGGGAAGCCGCGGCACATGGAATAGAGGCACTTGGGATTGTCCCCCTACTGTGGAGGGGTGTGGGAATTAGACCCAGGTCTGCTGGTGCCCTGGATCTTCCAACTGGCGAAGAGCATCTCTACAGAGAGGCTCTGGAGTGCAGGACGGCCACGTGCCTGTGCCCTGGCAGTCAGCACCTGCCCCGTCCAGGTAGGGGACGCATAGGAGTCACAGTGTGGCCCTTTGTCTCCACAGGGTCCACTGCCAGCTCATTCAGCTCTTTGCAAGAGGAATCGAAGAGACGCCTCAGCAGGAGCCCTGCAGCTGAGGGCCCCACCCGCCCCATGCGCGGAGGTGTGAAGACTATTTGATGACCACAGACCAATTATGTTGATATTTACATTTACATCTAGAAATTTATTTTTGATAGTTGGATCTTGATTTTAGAACAAGATACGTTTTGTCAACAATTCTGCATACATATCTGGCATTTGAGTTCCCTGGGAGCTGAGTGGCGCTGCACACAACTGGTTTCTCAGCATCCAGTGCCGCGGGCGTGGGGCCTGGCCTCGGAGCTCAGCGACGCGGACAGCACAGATCTAAGGTCGGCCCCTAGCGGTTCCAGGGCAATGACTTTAGGGACACAGGAGTATTTTCCAGGAATCAGGCCCACCTTCTGGACGCAGGGGCCTGGGTCACCGATCTGCTTTATAAGATTCTTCTGGAATGGTCTGAGCAGGTTTTGGGAAACAGGTATTTCTTCATTTTACGTCCACCTTCCCTGTGGTCAGGGCGTTGCCATCTGGTGAGGCCTGAGGAGCCCCTGAGGGCAACGTTTGACCTTGCAAACCTCCTTTCCTGCTGCCCTCCCAGCTGTGTTCGTGAGACCGTCCACGGGCAGCTCCGCGGTGGCTATGCAGACGGCTGGAAACGTGCTGGTGAGGGCTCGTTCTCTTTAAAGGCAAAACATGGACATCGTATATGGACACAACGTGGGCTTTCTGGGGAGCAGAAAGCAGCGGGCATTCCACGGGGACATTCGCTTTGACAGGGTGGCCCTGACTCCAGCAGGCTGACCTGGCGCCGGCCTGCAGTCTCCTGTCGTCTCACGCTGACCTCTGTATCGACAGCATTGCCGTCCTCAGTGGGACCAGCACAGTGGTGTCTCCGCCGTCTCCCCAGCCCTGAGCGATGATGGCAGCTTCCTGCTGAGGTCCTGGAGCCAGGGACCGGCCCCCTGCAGGCTTCCCGCCACTGGGCTCCTGACTGCGCCTGTCCTCCTTGTTTTCAGACTGACGTGTGATGAGCCCTGTGGAGTGGCACGTGAGGCAGCCTGACCTCTGGCCTGGAAGAGAAGGCACCACCTGTTAGGAGACCGTGGTTCACTGCTGCCGCTGTGGGTGGCTCCTCCACAGACCCCCAGGTGGCTGCCGCATCCGACAGAGAGCATCTGTTTTGGGGATTCTTTGCGTTGATTTGTATTTTGAGGCAGACACAAAGCCTCCTGTCTTGTCATTCGGTCCCACCCGGGCTTTTCCCGTGGCTTCTGTATTAGTGGACCGGGTTGGCAACGGCAGCCGTGTGGCTGGATGGTTCAGTAAGCCCAGGCTGAGTCACCGGCTGGGTGACAGTGGGCAGACCGGGCCTCTGTATTCAGGTTTGCTCCTGGTTGGGAAGAAACCAGAGAGCCAGAGTGGCAGCTTTTGAGGGGGCAATGACCACTTGTGCTCAGCAGCCGACAGGCAGGGGGCAACCTCAGGCCAGGGTGCTCCTAGGAGGTCCCACCTGGGATGACACCCTGACTCCTGCTTCCCTTGGGCCATTCCAGAAGGGCTCAGGTGGAGGGTCCTGAGGAGGCTGTGGCTGCCCCTGAGAACTGGGCCATCTTACAAGCTTCCCCAAAGATTCGGAGTCCTGACCCTGTTAAATGCTTCCCCGGGCCTGGTCTGCCCAGAACCCCTGCCAACCTCGGAGGATGGCCCAGGCCGAAGACGCTGCGGTGGAACTTACCAGTGGCAGGCTTATTCTACAACCTGGGACTGCACAGGGGGCCGTGGCAGATGCCCCCAAAGCCCCCTGGGACTGCACGCAGGACGGAGGCAGCCTCTGCCATTCCAACGAATGGGCTCTGTCTGCCAGGAGGCCTCACAGCAACCCCAAGCCCTGGACTTGGGGACTTTAACAGAAGGACACCAGAAGTGATGGTAGACAGTGACAACTTGGGACCCCTGAGATGGGATGGTCTCTAAACTTCCTCTGTGGCTTTTTGGTGTGAAACAATCAGGCAGCAGTTCTGCCCCGTGACTGCGGTTCAAATCGAGAAGTGGGGGCGGGCAGTGCGGCTGGGAACGCCGTGGAGAGGGCTTAATTTTCTGCCTAATCTTGCTGGTTTCAAGATTAGTAAATAGTGTATTTGATCTGATATGTTTGAGAAGACAAAAATAAAGTTACTTTGGGCAGAATTTGGCATTTCCTCTTTGTTTTACAAATTTCTTTTCAAAGTAGAGTATTTTTCATGAAAATGAAAAATTTTCATATACAAAGAAGAAGAAATGAGTGAAGATGTGCGCGCTGCACCTGTGCCAGGACACCCAGTGGCACCAGAGCCTTGCCCGGGCGAGCCTCCCCGCCTCCCCACGCAGGGCATGAAGCTGAAACCGCCTGGTGTGACTCGCTGCTCCTCCAAGGCCGACCGTGAGCTGTGGGCCTCGCTGCTTACCTGGGGAACTGGGGGCTGGGCCCAAGCCGTGGCTTTTGCTGGGGCAGCTCATCCCCCACCAGCACGACTGAGCCACGCTGGACTGCACCCACCACTCGGGAGCCTCCAGAGACCCCTGCCTCCCTCAGGCCAGGGTGCTCCCAGGAGGTCCCACCTGGGATGACACCCCTGGCCCACCTGTGCCCTCCTGCTACACCTGCCTTTGGGGCCAGGTGAGGGGCTGTAGTGTCTGAGGGCAAGGTCCAGCTGTGCTGGCCGTGGCAGAGGCGTGCTCTCAGGAGGGGCTGTGGGTGCTGTAGATTGCCCCAGGGAACTTTGTCCCTTCTCTGCTGTCTCCCGGCACCCAGGACAGGCTGCAGTGGACGGGGGAGGGAGGGCAGGGGTGTGGGCATCTGACCCCTAGGGCCACACTCCCGAGGTTTCCACCGACTGACTCCCAGCGGCTCTAGGGGAGCCGGGCGGTCAGCTGGGAGGCCAGGCACTGTCAGTGTCCCACACAGGTCTCCGGTTTTAGAGGCCAGGTGGGTTCCTTGTCTTTCTGTGTCAACATCAGTGTCTCAATCAACCAAGTCACAATGACACCAGGGACCCTTCTGGCCAGGAACCCAGGACCTGGCAGCTGAGTGGGGCCACGGCCTGCACCCAACCCCAAGGCACTGCCTGGCCTTGGCCCTGCCCACCCAGAGCTGGCCTTTGGTGCCCTCCTGACAGCTGTCCCCTGCCATCTGGCCTCCATCTTCTGAGACCTGGGCCTGCCTCCTGATGCCCACAGCCCAGCAGGACTGGCTACCCACCCAGCCCTCCCTGAAGCCTTCCCTCACCCAGGTGCCCCTGCTGCCCAAACCCTGTGGCACAGGGGGCCCTGCAGCCGCTCCAGCAGCCTCCAGGCCGCGCCCCGCCAAGAGAGCTGCGGACCCCAGACCTTAGCACAAAGCATTTTAATTTATTTAAATAAAAATTATAATTTATACAAGACTTTTCTTTAAACAAGGTTTTCTTAAAAAATGTGACAGGGTGTTTTTCATCAGTTCTCCATACAGTACAATCCTTTTGTAGAACAAAAGTGACACCAGTGATGATTATTTACAGATCCAAAATAGACTCGAGCTCCGGACATACAAAAATCGAACATTCATCTAGTTCAGTGATTAGTCACAGAAATTAAACATCTGTCCAGATTCACGCACTTCAGCGAAAACCCTGTTGGTCTCTAACAGGGAGCCCAGACCCTAGCAGGCCCCTGGCCAGGCCCATGGGCTCCAAGGAACACGGCTGGACTGTGGACCCCTGTTCCCCAACAGGCCTCAGGCCTTCCCGGGTGCAGTGTGGTCAGTCTGCATCTCCCTTCCTGTGAAAGGGACTCGAACTAACCTACTCGCTCTGCCAAGAGGCCCCTCCTCTCAGGGACCCTCCCCGCTGTGTGTGGGGATAGCACCCCAGTGTGCCCACAAGGAGGACTTACTGACCCTGGTCCCCAGGACCCAGCCTGGGGCACTGCCAAGGCCCAGAGAGAGGTCTGACACCACCCAGGGGTGTCACCCCACAGCCATCCCTGGGGACACGTCACGGATACCCTGCCTCCCCTTGGGCACCCTGGGGTCCTGAGGCCCCCATCTCGCCCCATGCACTTGAGTGCACCATCCCTGCAGGGGCTGAAGCCCTGGCCCAGGGCGGGTTCTGCCTTCATCGACGGAGGCTGACGAGCAGGGCCATCCGGCAGCTGGCACCCATGGCGCCCGGGGCGGGCAGCCTCCACCCTCTGGGTGGGATGTGTGCTTGACCTGGCTGGTCGGGGTGCTCGGCCCACGCACCAGAGTGTGACCCGGCAGCCCCCACCAGGTCTCACACCCGAGCCAGCAAATGAGGATCAGAGCTAAGGTAAAAATGTCACCTGAAAAACGATACAAAAATAAGAGACAGCTTGCTCTCTGTAAAAATATAATCTCTGTTTCTTCAAAAAACAACTATCTCAGTGACACCCGAAGGACTCAGACAAGCCGGGGAGGTGCAGGGCCACCTGGAAAGCGTGCGGACAGGGAGACCGTCACTCCTTTGGAGGCCCGGCCCTGTCCCAGGACCCCACGTGGCTTCTCACTTCAGACAAAACACAGATGTCCCAGGATACTCTGAGCCTGCGAGACGCTCCCTCGGCCTCCCCCACGGGCCACCGTGTTCCTGGGTAGCACGCGTCTTTCATCCAAGCCAGCAAGGGCTGCGCTGGGGCGGCTGGGCACTGGGAGTGGTCTGGGCCCAGATGAGTGCTTGGTGGGCACACAGGAAGAGAAATACTGCCAGATGTCTGGGGCAGGCCTCGGCCCACGGAGCCTCCCAGCAGCTCACGGGCAGGGCACTGAAGCTTGGCCTCCACGGCCAGGGAGCTCTGGCTGCCCCGACTCCACCCCACTGACCCCCATGGTTGTGGCTGGAGGCCAAGCCTGGCCAGGCTGTGGCTGACCTTTACCTGACCAGCCAAGACTCAGAGCTGGGCAGTGTTCTCCTGGGCTTCTCCGGGGAGCACAGCGTCGAAGGGTGTGCCTTCACTCGCGCCCTGCACCCTCGAGGGTCGCCAGCCAAGGGGCCAAGATGGGCAGGTGGATGCGGCAGCTGGTGAGGGAAGCCCCTGCCCCCCAACCCCCTACTCTGAGGACCAGCATACTGGGGGTGGGGAGGGACCTCGGCACCCATCAGTGACACTTCCTAACCCCAGCAGGAGGGCCACAGACATGCTCAGCTATGGCTTTAGGGGGCGGCCTCTGGCTTTCCGAGACTGGGACTCGGGGGCTGCAGGAGCCCCTGGGGTGGCCGGGGCCAGGTCTCTACTGAGGCTAGGATGGTGGGGATGGCGAGGGTCCTGCATGTCATCCTCTAACAGGCCTTGAGGATCCTCCGCCCACCTGTGTCTACAGGTGTCCACCAAGGGGCCCCACGTGCCTGGCAGGGGCATCTGTGCCGTCCTCGTGAGCTGCAGCCCCTCAGTGAAGGGGTCTGTGGAGCACGGTCAATGCCACAGCGACCACAGGCCGAGGAGCAGCGTGGCAACTCCATCTGCCCCGTGTCGAGGGCCGTGAAGGTCCTGCGGTGGTGGGGGTCAGTACTAGCTGTCGCCACCAGAGGCTGCGGCCGAGGTGATCTTCACGTACTGGCTGAAGATGGTCTCGAAGGCCTCGTCCCTGTGCACCATGGCCCCGAACACCAGCGGCTGGCGGAAGAGGCACCCGGTGAGCAAGGCGCCAGGGATGAGCGCTGCCAGGCTGGGGCCAGGCTAAATCCGGCCAGGCAAGCAGCAGCCACGGGGTGGCAGACGGCCTCCAGCCTTCACAGAGCGGGGGGCAGGGCACCCCACAGGCTCAGGCCCCTCCCTGAATGCCCCGTCGGCGTCCTCTGGGCCACAGCAACAGGTTCCTGCTGTCAAGATGGGGCCCTCTGCCATCACTGAAGCCACAGCTGGTCTGTAGCTTGGAGTGTCCCCTGGGTCCCCAGAGCCAAGCCCCTGCCACACCTCGACCCCACAGCAGCTGCCTGACACTTACTTTCTGAGTCGACGGTGTTGACACGGCAATGCCCATGCCTGAGCCCGGGAGGACGGACAGGACCTTGTACTGAAAGGACAGCAGAGCGTCATTAGGGTTCTCTTGGGCTGGGGCCGCAGCTGGCCCTCCACAGGCCCAGGGAATTCACTAAGCACAGCCGTCCCAGCCACAGGAGGAGGGACCCAGGAGTGCCTTGTACCCTGCGACTGAGAAGCCAGACCTGCATGGCTCATCCGCTTCTCAGAGGGCAGATCCTAAGGACACTGCCTGTGGGGAGGAGCCCAGACCTGACTCCCAGGCCCTGAACCCAGAGGGGCCCCTGTCAGCACTGCCAACCCAGAGGCCAGGCCAAGAGGGCCCTGGCCTGACTGTGCCTCTGGTTACCCAACTGTACACCTTTCCTCTGGAGAGGGGGTGACCACAGCACCCACAGCCTGGGTGGGCCTGACATGCAACGGAGGGAAGGGAGCCCACCCAGCAGACTGCTGGGGTCCCCCCACAGCGGGTCTGTCCAGTTGGGCCTAGGAAGTCTCCAGAGAGCAAACGCCCCAATGTACACAGTAAAACCCACCAGCTTTGTGGCCCTTGAGGATTCTTGTCCCTAAAACTGAAAGGAGATGGTAGAAATGCAGCGGGGCGGGGCGGGGGCACACCCACCTTCTGGATATCTGTGATGTCCATCAGCTTGATGACTTTGTTCCTCTTTGAAGACCCAGATCTGGAGCTTTCAAAGCACAGATAACTAGAGGGGGAAAGCGAGAGGCACAGTCCACACCAGAGCCACGTGGGGCTCCTGCCAAGCGGGAGCTCCCCGGGCTGCTGCTTCACAGCCCAGCCGTACCCCCGCTGCAGCAAACAGCACCTACAGGAAAACCAGAGGCCTGGGCTCCACGCTAAACCGCGGCTTCCCTGCCCACGGGATTCCCCGCAAGGTGCGCTGGAGTCCAGGGGCCCGTTGAGGGCTCTGGGACCAGATCCTTCAGCGGAGCCTTGGCCGCTGCTGCAGGCTGGGGACAAGGTGACGTTGAGGCCCTGTACTCCCTCCTCCCACACCTGGGGCTGAGACAGTCTTGCCCGGCAGAGGAGAGATGAGGCCATCTCCGACTGCTGTGTCCAGACTGCAGCAAGCCTTGGGGCCCTGGCTCAGCGGGGCAGAGCACAGTGCCTTCCTGGGAGATTGTCCTGTGCCCCCTGAACAGCCTCACCCTGGCAA